GATAACATATTGTAATTCTTATTATATATATATATATATATATATATATATATATATATATATTAGGCATTTCATCCCAATCAAAGGAATAAAGAGATTAAGAAACGGGGTTACTGAGTGTGAAAGAATATGAGAAAATAACACATTAGTAAGAAGGGAGAACAATAAAAAATCAGGAATTAAGACAGCAGATAACAATTGATATTGCATTTAAATTTTTGAAGATCAAAGCTGAATGGGATGCAAAAAGCTGGAAGAGGGTTCCACAAGTGATATGTGCAATAGAAGAAACTGTTAGCATAGAACTCACAGTTACAGCTAGGCATTTCAACAGTAAAATGAGGAGAGATTACCACTAATCTAGTATACATAAAGTCAAGGTATCATGGATATATATATATATATATATATATATATATATATATATATATATATATATATATATATATAAAAGGCTCAAACACTAGTATTTCATGGTTATAATTTATTTCATTGGGTTCATACTAAAGATCCAACTTCTCAGATGTAAAAATTCAACAAGAAACTTCCTTTTGAATTTGTAGGTCTGAGGAGTTGGGTTGTTATTACGAACCCAATGAAATAAATTATAACCATGAAATATTAGTGTTCAAGCCTTTTATATTATACTCTTGTTCTATCCTATACATAGAGCTCTACCTGGATTATATCCTCTTGTAAATACATATATTGACAACTAATATTTTCAAAATCTCTCTCTCTCTGTATATATATATATATATATATATATATATATATAAAATGCATGAAAGGTTAATGGACATCGTTGAATCAAACACGGTAGCAGATTCAACAGATTTAAAGTTTATATATATATATATATATATATATATATATATAGTCATTATAAAAGAGCTGATTCTCTGTCTGTGTGTGACTTTGCATGTACATATATAATGTTTATGTGTATGTCTGTGTTGTACATGTGTGACTTACATGTGCTTGTGCCATTTAACGTACACACACACACGTGTCCAAGCAATCTGACTCAGTTTGAATAAGACATTGGAATAATACATTCTCTCCCACTCAGTCTAGACACTCCTACTCTGGGCTGAGCAATAAAATCATAAAGTTCGAAAAAAAATAAAGATAAAAAAATAAAATAAAATAAAATAATGAATATTCTAAATCTGAAAAATTCAATTAAGTAAAATGTTATAGAAATTTTTGGAAATTATAAATAGAAATATTTTTCATGTTATTTTTTTAATTTTGTCAAAATAATTTTCAGTCTGCACCTGTATATTTTAATTCAAATATACAAACCCAAATGTAAGAACATATATGCACAATTTGAATGAAACTGAAATAGAGACCTGTGTTGCAAGTGCTAATTTCCAATTCTTTCTGGCAACAACCTCTGGGTAACAGGAAAATAGCTAGCTCTTTGAAGTCTTTTGTTTGAATTACTGTATTTAAACTGGATATATTTTCTAATAAATATAGTATTTTAAATGGACAATTCCTAGCCATAAGCAAAGTGACAGGTACTAGGTTATTTAATCAATCAGAAGAGAAGTTCCATAGGTGAGAAGGGCAAGATAAGAAACTGTTGAAATAAAAGCAATGGTTGCATCTAGCTTAGTTCAGCATTAAAACAATGAGACCTAATTTCCAATCTAGTATCATGCTTAAATTCATGCAATAGAGGCAATAAGGAAAAAAATCTCAACAAAACAGTTGCCATGAAAATATTTGTAGAAAAGACGGAGGGAAGCCACAACATATCGGTGAGATAGTGAATGAAGTCGAGATGCCAGATTAGGATGGCTTACATTATAGACCCTTCTTTAGATTTTGTCAAGAATCGCAAGATGTACAGCAGTAGCCCCAGACCAGATATGGCAGCAGCATTCAATGCACATATGAATGGTAGATTTATAAATTTATAAATGTGCCTAATGGATTCTGATGAGAAAAAATTTCCTCAACATTCTTAACAGTAAATGCAGCTATTGATTCATAATGATTTGAAAATTCTTGCAAAAATGAATAATTGTCAGATTTTAATGAAACTTTCAAGACTTACAAATGAATGGAATTATTCTTTTTTAGAAAATCTATGTAAAAATATATTTTTATATACATCTATTAATATCCATTTGTTTTAATTTTATGAAATTAAGAAATTGTTTTTTGTAGAGCTTAATGTTTATATTAGTTATAAGGACAAGTCCTTGGAGAAATTATTTTTGGTCAAACAGGTTACATAAAAACTGCTCTGAATCATTAAATAAACAATTCAATAAAACTAAGACATTATTTAATTAGAAAAGTTGTTAATTGCTTTTATATATAAAATATCTTATTGGAGACTATTGTCTTAAAAAACATTTTTTTACAAGAATTTAAAAAAAATTTTACTTAGGATAATTTCAGTCAGTTATGTGCCATGCGTGATACATGGCTTAGGCAATCATGTATCTTTCAATACATGACTGATGAGGCAGATATTTTTCCTGCGGTAGGTTGTCATTTCTTTTTGTGGTAGACCAGTTGCCATCCAAGGCTATAGAAATCGGTCTGTCCTGCTATTTAACCATAGCTGAGGGGGAGAAGAGGATTCATAACTTTCCCAAGTGTAAGCAAATGTAATGGATTATTTACAAACTTTTAATCATAATATTATGTTTTAATTTGTAATTGTCAAGTGATATTGTTATTAAATTAAGACTGTATTTACTAATTATATATGAAAAAGTTTACTACAATTCAATGCCCCACAATATTTTAAAAATAATTTTGAATTTATCTTCTTGTGTTTAAACGTGTAATTTTTTGTAAATACAGATGTTGAAGCACAACATTATCAGAAAATAAGAGTTGTAACTATAGTAAAGTTAAAAATTTATTGGTAATATTTAGTAATGGAACAATTAATCAGAATCGAGAATCTGAAATATCAGAACATTTGGGGTATCAAATCAGCATTGGATTTGGAGAATTTTTAACTTAATTTCCCATTCCAAAACTATTCTGTGGATTTTTTTTTGTTGTTTTGTTTAAAACTTGATTTTCCATTCCTGGTACTAATGATAAAAAGATATAAATATTTATTGATTTTAAACTATCAGTAAAAGTAAAACTAAAATCTGTAAATCATAACACCTATGATGTAAATTTATTTTTTTACTCGTGTTAAAACAAGAAAAGAAAATGAAATGGGCAAGTTCCTACTCAGTTCTCAAACTTTCCATAAAGTTCTCAAATTTAAAGTCTGTTTCAGTTCAAAATAAATTTTTTTAATTTCTTTTTCAACATTTAATTTTATAAATTATTAACTTAATAATTATAATCAAAATTATGTAATATAAACACAAAATGAAGAATTCACGTTTGTTATTCTGTTGGGCTCTCTTTAGTCTTTATTATTTTTTTTTAATTTATAAAAAAGAAACAAAAATGTATGTATGGAATTCCTGCCAATGTCACATTTGATTTCTTCACATAAAAAATTGACCTTGTGTCACAAATTGTCCTTGTGGTGAGGCAGTTAAATTACAACAATCTGTTTTTATAATTGTTTTAATCCATAAATCATTTTTTAATCTTGGCTATTGAAAAGATTTATTTTTGTTTACGTAGTATGCTACGTAAGCAAAGATAAATCTTCTTTTCAATAACCAAGACTTAAAAAAGTAAACATTCTTTTTATGAAATTTAAATTTGTTTCTATGAAATTCATGTATTTCTTTAGTTTTCGAAACAGAATTTCATCTTTATATACTTAAAAAAAAATAAACAAACTGTTATTGTAAATTTTGTTAAATTTTGTTTACCTCTTAAAAAGAAAAAATTCAAGGGATATGTCTTTGTGTTGTTGAACTTTTACTTTTTTTATCTTTTAACCAAAAATAAAACACTTTTTGATTCTTTTTAAAAATTATCAATTTTTTTTAGTTGTGAGAAATATATTTTAGACAGTAAAACTCATTATTAGTGATTAATTATTATTATTATTTATTTTTTTTTTGTTAGATAAGATTGAAATCCTTTATTTATTTATTTAAGTTGCTGTAATAATTCATATTTAGTATTAAATGTCTGTAAGCAAATTTAAAATTTTCATTTTTTTTTTATTCACTGTCCTGCAGTGTTAGGTACCCCTTCCTTGTACTTTAACTTTCAAAATATATGCATGACAATAGGTAGGATGATGCCTTTCTGCTTAGAGTAGGGTGTCTTATTTTTGAAATTTGTTTTAAATCAGATTAGTTAAACTTTAAATCAGCTCATCAACCCCAAAGTTTAAAAAAAAATATATTTCATTTTTGAAAAACTTTTTTTTTTTTTTACTAAAGACAATACAGACAATTTTAGTGTTTTTTTACTGATAATAAAAAATTATTCCAATCAATTTAAATTCAGTTTGAAATACAGCAAAGTATTTTATTGGAAATAAAGTCTTGAAATTAAAACTAAAATAAAAGCTTCAAGAAAGATTTTTCAATTGTTTTTCTTTGATGGGTATAGTTTTTTGATTGTTTTTGTTTAGTGGCATATCAACACTTCTATGGGTTATTAATGCCGATATTTAAATACTTTGTACACACTTTTTTTTTTTAAAAATTAATAATAGTTTTTTAGTCTTACTAGTTAACCCATGGCATATATAACACCACACAGAAGGGAGTGCTCAAAGTTCTTGACCTAAACCTATTTCCCAAAATTTGACCAAATGACGTACCAGAGCTTTTTTAATTGGCTGAGAATTTTTCAGCACCCATGTATAAGTGCGTGGGGGGAGAGAGACACTCAGACAAAACAGGATTCAACCACCTGTTTTTTAAAAACTAAACAGACGTTTGATAAACTAAACAAGATTTTCTTATTTGTCAAAAATAAAAATAATGTTACTATTAATCAGCAAATAAGATACATAGTAAAAGTTCCCAGAAATCTTGAATTTAGTTTTTGGGTTTTTGTTTTTTTATGAAAAATGCTGGGAACTTTTGCAATTAGAGAGAGTGATAGGGACCACTAAAGAGAGACTGTAAGCCGAAGCGTTTAGAATAAAGTTCACTTCGGAAAGAATAAATAGAAGGGCATAAAAACAAAGAGATAGAGGCTAAAATACAATAAAAGGGAGAGATCATTAAAGAGAGAGAGACTGAGATATTAAAGCAGTGAGAGTTAGCTGAAAAAAGATCGTAAGAGATACAAAAAGAGAGACAAAAAATGAAAGAACAAAGAGATTGTAAGAGATGAGAGAGAGAGAGAGAGAGAGAGAGAGAAATACAACATGAAAAAGCAGAGAGAGATCGTAAGAAATAGCAGAGAGAAATATAAAATATTTAGAAATATAAAAAAAAGCAAAGAAAAATTGTAAGAGATACGAGAGAGAGACAAAAATACAAAATGAAAAAGCAGAGAGAGATCGTAAGAAATAGCAGAGAGAAATGTAAAATATTTAGAAATATAAAAAAAAGCAAAGAAAAATTGTAAGAGTGTCAACTTGCAGTTTGGTTTTTAGACACTTTACAAAACGTGCCACATGCTGGCATCGACTCTCCAGAACAATAACATCAAAAAGTCACCTTACTGACAAATCAACCACTGTGAGATTTGAACCCAGGTCTCATGTTCTGAAAGTAAACATTCTGACAACTTGGCCAAAATACACACACACAATTTCAAGAGACTAAAAGATAAAGGAAATAAAAATATTGGCCTAAAAATAATCAGTTTTATTACACATCAATACTTATATGGGTCAAACATTGATCTTTTTATCAGATTGCTAGTTTTCAACTTGAATGTAAAACAGAAACAATTCTGTCATTGTGTAGTCTCTGGCAAACCTGTCTGTTGTTGCTATGTTACGATATCAGTATTAAAAAGATAAGATTTAATCAAAATACACAAACACACACACACAAAAAAAAAAAAAAAATCAACCTAACACCAATAACTAGTGCATAAATTAATTACATCAAACTTAGCATAAAGATAATGAAAAATGAGAAAAGCTACAGTTGCTTAAACCTCCTGATGAGTGGATTGAATAATCACAAAAAGGTTCATCTATGAAATTCTAGAGTCAAGGTGCTGAATATAACATCAATAAGCTAAGCAACAAATTTCATTTGTATTAATCCTATGATATATATTTTAAAGAGAGAAAAAGCTCCAAACATTTTTATTTTATTGTAATCTGGATTTTATTCTATATTAAAAAAAAATCCATATTATAATAAAAAACGTTTGCAACTTTTTCTCTTTAAAAAATACACTTTTCTCTCGTTGGAACAACCAAAAGCCCTTCTCTTATATATGCGTGTGTGTGTGTGTGAATAAAGACAAAAGGAAAACTTATCGATATGTATATATCCAAACAAGTTTGATTAAATAGAATTGACAAGGTTCAGTTCAGTACCATTTGTGATACACGCTTAGGCGATCATGTATTTATCAATACATAACTGACGAGGCAATTTTTCCCCACAGTAGGTTGCCATTTCTTTCTGTGGTAGACCAGTTGCCATCCAAGGCTATAGAACCTGGACTATCCTGCTATTTACCCATAGCTGGAGGGAGAAGAAAAGGATTCATACATTTCCCAAGGGTATTAGTACGTAAGTGAATGTAATGGATTCGACTGGAATTCAAACTTGGCTCTCCAATTCCTCAATCAAAGCCACTATCCATTGCTCCACCATGTCTCCTGACAAGGTATATCTATTTAATTTTTTAATGTATTTTTACAATTTTTGAAGGTGTTGTGTATTGAGAGAATATTTATAGATAACCCCGAAATTCATGTTTGCATTTTTGTTCAAATGATATTAATTGTCTTGGTCATTTTCAAAATTCATGTGGGTATCTGTGTGGTAAGCAATATCCTTTGTCTCCATCCTGATAGAGACATAGGAAGAGATAATAATATCAATACTAATAACAATAACATTAATTCACTATTTGTTTAACAACATGCCAAAAATTTATGTCACTTATCATCCTCCATAGTTTTCCTTTCCCCTGGTGACGTTTGATCTAATGGCATCGAAAGAAAGCTGAAATGCATATATATTCTAACAGTATAAGATTAGTTGTTTTGAATTTACAATATACCTAATACTAAGAGATACAATACAATCTTCCTACATCATTCTTATATTTGAGTAAATCTTACTTATTATAAAACGCAGATTGTGTGTGTGTGTGTGTATGTGTGTGTGTGTCTGTACGTTTATATATTGGATCGGATTTCCTACATTTTTCAACTGATTTCAACAAAACTTCACAGGACTACGTAAAATTACCTTGCGGTGGTTCTGACAGTGCCAAAAATTGGAAAAACACAATTGTTTTTGCACGAAATCAATTGGAAAACCCAATAAAACAACATTCTGTCGCCAGAATGAAAGGGGGACAACTCATATCGAGTTATACTTATTATAAAACCCACGTTGTTTGTGTGTGTGTGTGTGTGTTCCTTTATATATGTGATCGGATTTCCTACATTTTTCAACCAATTTCAACAAAACTTCACTTTTTTTGGCAGGTAGTGTTTCTTATTGTCTTGCACAATTTTTTTTTTATTTTTACATTCAGAATGCTTTAAAAATTCCATTTACAAGACAATTGTTTATAATAAAATTCTAAAATTCTATTCAATCGGTAGACTCATAACGATTGAAAACAATGGTTTTCTTTGAGTTTGGGTTTGACCAATTCGTAAAAAAAAAAAAAAAAAAAAAAAAAAACTAATTAAGACATGCGTGTCCGTCAACCTTAAGCAATAATCTTTGTCAATTTTATTTTTCAGTCTTTATGATGGTTGATACTTGATCTATCTCTTACTGTTACATCCCTGGGCAATGCCGGGCTCTACTGCTAGTGGTATGATAAATCTAAACTTAATAAATATCTACAACCCTGTTTATATAATCATTGATATCACGTGTAGGATTTATTAAATAGGTTAAAAATATCACTTTTGTGAATATGTTTGTAGCTGGTATTCCCGAAGTAAGTGTTATCTCTATGGAGAACAGCAGAGACCCAGGGAGTGGTGAGAAAAGAAGGGTCAGTAAGGGGTGAGGAGACATGGTGGCATTAAAAGCAAGTAATTGCTTTTCTACAAAATCTATATCTCTATGACAAAATCTTTCAGTTACACTTAATGAATGATTACACTTTACGACAAAAGAGTTGTAGACGAAAGCATGGTTTTATTTTATTTACATTATCTACATTCAGATTATTGTCCTCATCTTTGTTGTTGTTATCACAATGTTTCGGTCATTGTGATCTCTGGCCTTCATCAGAGATATAGCGATCCAGGTAACCTACAGGAAATTCCAAACTAAACCCTTTATTTATTCTACTGTTCTCGTTCCATGACCCATGCCTAAGGATATCTCATCTAGTTCTTATTTGTAGCACTGCTCTGTTTTCACTGATTTCAAATACATATTAATCGGCCCAGGGATTGAACCCACAATTACTATGTCATCAAATTCACAAACCACTAGGCTATTGCCATATAGGACAATTCTCTGTGGTGAACTCAGAGCCTTAAACCTAACCTACATGCTGATGAGCATTGCGCCCACTTATCATACTTGACAGCACTCAGTGACACTTTTCTCTTGTTACAGCTGCTGCTGTTGAAGACTTGCTGTCATTTGTCTTTCTTGATTAATGGCTCCCATATTTTATTTATTTCTATGCTAGGCCTACTAAGGAGATCCTCATAGACTAGCATATGTGCTGATTCTTTGCGACATCTAACATTATTTTATTTTGTTGCTCAGTTAAAAATCCAAACATTTTGTATCTTTGTATCTTGCTAATGTTATCTGGACAGAGCGCCCCACAGACAAACCAACATCTGCAGGAGTCATTGCCCTTAGTTTGAAGGTGTAGCAATTTAATCACAAATCAATTAAACATTTTCAGATGTTACTTAAATATTGATATGATTGAATTACTTGAATATTGTCATGTCCTTATAAGCAACATGAGGGTGTGTCTGGTTTTGGCTTTAATACTGGGGATACAGGGTAACAAGGTGATTATAATTCAACTAAGTTCTACAATGACTACAGTGGTCCCTCTTCACCTAACAAGGGTCAGATCCGGTCATATATTGGCAGGAGATGCTCACTCTTCACTTTTAAGTGTCTTCGCATCCTTGTGAGTGACAAATTATTTTCCACCCTACAACTCCTTTCTTCCAAACATGTCGCTCTATCCCTGTTTCTATAGAAAGTGCTTGGACTAACTATATTCCTTAGTTCCACAAGTTCTAATCTTCATGGCTAAGACCTGTCATGCTATACACATTGAATGAACAAACCTCATTCTCTTCATATTCCATTGGCGAGACATAAGTTCCACTCAAGCAGATTCTTCCTATGAACTACTGCTTTGTGGAAGTAACTCCCAAGAGGATGCTTCCTAATTGTCTACAATCTTAACCTGTACAAGTCTAGAATTAACAATTATCTTCCCCACATAAACTCTCTCTTATTCTGTAATGCTCTCCCTCAAATGGCTCCCAGTATTATACAGGATGAACATCAATTACCCAGCCGATTCCAAAATTAGAGAATTCATAAGTTCTGTGTAAGAATAGATCTAAAGCGCAATGTTAGTGTTGCTGGCCAATCAGATCTTTCAAGGAGAAAAGTACAAAGTGCTCTCTTTAAGTGAAACAGTGAATATCTTTAACTTAGGACATGGGGGAAAACGGGGACTGCACTCCGAGTCGGCACATGGGGGTAAACGGGGACTGCACTCCGAGCTGGCACATGGGGGTAAACGGGGACTGCACTCCGAGCTGGCACATGGGGGGCAAACGGAGACTGCAAAATTGGGGCACATGGGGGGCAAACGGAGACTGCACTCTGAGTTTTTCACATTTAAAATTAAAACGGAGAGATGCACTCCGAGCTGGCACATGGGGGGCAAACAGAGACTGAGCATGTGAGCAACAGGGAAATTTAAGGAAAATGGAAGCAAAAAGGACACTTATAGCAAGAATCAGTTGAAATTTCTATGACAAATATTGAGGAAAGAAAGCTTGGAGAATTTAACACAAAATGGATAATGGATTTCTTTATTGAATACAAAAAGGACAGATCAAAACAATGATTGAACTACCTAACTTGCTTGTGTAAATGAATGGCA